AACTTCCAGAGCCGCCTTCCAGCTTTTGCCTGCAGAAGAAATTGGCTCAACTCCTGAGCATCTCCTTTGCTGGGTCCTGCTTTTGTGCCCCACCCCACCCCACCCCACCCCACCCTTGCAGCCATGGGGACTCTGGACCTTCCTGGGAGGAGGCCAGGTTCTGCCATCGCCTGTGGTGGCCATCAGAATATTTTGGGACACAGGCTTTCTGCTTTAAATCTCCAGACACCGCTGCTGCACCCCCAAGGGATGCCTTCGCATTGCTGGCATGGCATGTTTTTACAATCAACAGCCACTCAGTGAAATGATTAGCATATTACCTCATTTAAATAAATTTCATTTTGCGCTGAACTGTAAACACATCCACTTACCAGGATACCAAGTGTTTGCAATTCAAATGATACCAATTTGTAATGAGAAATACATATATATGTATAATTAAGGGCAAGGCTGGAAGGAACAACTTTTTCATCTCTCTGATGGTCTGCCTTGAAAGCTGAGAATGCAGCATCCATACGCAATTACCTGAGTGTGCATAAGATATAGCAGGTCACAGAGCTGAGTCAGTGCAGGGTGACCATACGCAGCACACAAAAAGCCTTTGGTGTCATGAATTCATTTAAATTTGTGTTCTTCAGTTGCAATTTGTCAGAAACCTTCAGCAGCCTCCAGAGAAAAGCCCTGTTGTGGCATACAGAAAGCCGCAGTCTTCTGTCACACCGGCTCAGCAGTGCAGTCAATGTTAGAAGAACCAGAAGTGAGACAGTCAAATGCAGCTTTTGTAACTAACTAGCATATAGTTCTAATAATCAGATTCTGGGAACTACAGGACCAGCAAATATTTATTTCTTTTTGCCTGATTTTAGTTTTTCATTGCATTTGCCTTTAAATTAGGGATGAATGAGAAACGTGTTTGGCTGCCATTTCGTTCAGACATGCTAAACCCACTTTCCCGACCCGGAATGCAGCTGCATGTCAAAATTCATGCTTTCCTGGAGTTTGCAGAGCAAACATAAATGCACACATTTGAGACTATGCAGTCAATGGGAAAAAAATCACTTACAAAAATCACATTTGAAAAATGCGCATGTGCTGAAAACCTGGCATGAAAATGCATGCAAATTTGCATAGATTAAAACTGTGGCCACCTGACATCGCGTATGGAAATGGAACGGAATGATTTAGCAGAGTTCCACGGGCTGCACGTGCTATCGAGGATGACAAGTTTGGCCAACGCATTCTAGCATGAGATCCGGAGAACCGGTGTGGCACGGAGGTTGATCAGACTAGAGTTGCCACGTGACTGCATTTTGAGCCCATCCCCGCCGGCCTTTGGGACCGCCGACTGCTGCTCATCGGACCCTCCTCAGGCTGCACTTCTCAGCGTCACTGTCTCTGGCTGGCTGGACAGGAAGAGAGCCAGGGAGTCAACAGGCCACGGCATCTCCTGCCCCTATTCATTCGTTTGTCATATTTATAGCCCACCTTTTTCCTTCTCAGGAATTCAGCTCAGCTTCCATATTCCTCCTCTTGCTCCTTTCAATCTTATCCTCACAACAACAACCCTGCGAGTAGGCTGGGCTGAGAGTCCACGGCTGGCTCAAAGTCTCCCATGGCTGAGGGGGGACTAGGACCCGGTCTCACAATGGCCCTGCCATCACTTGCGGCCCTTTGGCAGCAAAGGGGGGGTGTTGGAGGGGGAAGATGGTTTGGGGAGATCAAGCTGTGTAGGGGGCTTGATTACTTGGTCCTGCTGGGAGCCCCCGGAGGCCGTTGTGTGGCTCCCTGCCGCCCCTTTCCCTGGATTAGCAGCTGTCCCCTTCCGCGCCAGCCCTCTTGGCTCCATCAGTTACAGCTGGATGAGAAACGTAGCAAATGAATACAGATATTTGCTTCTCACTGCTTGGCTTTATCGGCTCTTAATGGTGAAACAGGAAAGAGCCAGGAAGGCAGGATGCGCCCATCACCCTGCGGAGGCTCCCAGTCCAAAGGGAGAGAAAGGCTTGTGAAGCTGCTGCAGCCCCCTGGGGCCTTGGGGGAGGGGGCCCCGCGACGAAGCTGCTGCCTTACAGATGTGTTGCACTCCAATGCCCCTCATCCCCAGGCAGCATGCAGCAGTCCCACACGCCTGGAGGTTGGAGACGGCTGAGGCACGCTTTGCCCTCGGAGGCATCTGGAGGCTTCCTGCGCCGACCCCCGCTGAGCCGCCCCCGACCCCCCCCCCCCCCCCCCCCCCACGAAGCCTCTGGCTGCAAACCAGTCATTTGCTTCTGCTATGGCACTCTGTAAAATCTCTTCCCTTTTGACCCCGGAACGCTATGATTCACTTCCTTGGACCATGTAAATCATCTCCCTTCCTAGACCAAATTAAGTAGAAACTGCATCATCACAACTGCATTTGGGAAACAAACCCCTTGTGTGCTTGCTAGATTTGTGGCTGGCCGTGTAACAAATGCTCAGTTGCGCTCACGCTTCGGCTCTCTCCTCCGCCACTAGTTTGCTTGTATGAACTCAAGTTCATTAAAGCGCAAACGATCCTGCCAAGGTACCGTTCACTAAGCAGCTGGTACCCTGCATCTTCTACTCTAAGTGACAGAGCGCTTGTGGGCTTACGGATGCTGCTGGACACCAGCTCCCATCTTCCTCAGGACCACTGACCATGTCGACTGAGGCTGCTGGGAACCACAGTCCAACCTCCAGGGGAGGGCAGGTTCTCTGCCCTTCCACAGGCTCCCTCGGTCTGGTACCTCCAGATGCATTCGGCTGCAACTCCCCATTTCTCCCAGCCGGCACGTCTGGGGGGTACCAGACTGGGGAGGGCTGGACTATACCTGAGTCCAGGCAGGGATCTTTTTGCAGCCCTGCCTGTTGATGCTGGAGACCTTTTACACGCAGAAAACACGTTCTACATCTAAGAAAGGGGAAGAAAATTCACGGGAACGCCAGCACAAAGAAGCTGTAACAGAATGTGGGAACCTGTGGCAGGGAACCTGTGTCCATTTGGGTGGACACAGGTTCCCTGCCCATGGCGCTGGCTCCAGGCCGGGTGGCCTGATGGGGTTGCTGGTCACTTCTGGGGTCCCAGGTGCAATTTCCATAATCCCCGATGGAAGGCATTCAGGATGCAGGTCAGGAAAGCCACGCCCTGCCAGACGATGCTGGACTCCAACTCCCGTTGGCCTTCGCCAGCAAGTCCAATGGACAGAGGGGGTGGGAAGCAGTTTCTCCCACCTGCCCTACAGCAACCTAGTCAGGTAGGCCAGAATTATCATCCCCGTATTGTAGGCAGGGGAGTGGGCAGGCTGCTGTGGAGCGGCTTGGATGGGCAGAGGGTCGACCTCCAGATATTCCAACCTCGGCTCCCAGAGGCTCCTGCCAGGAAAGCCAGAGGTCAGGAACACGGCCAGTGGAAGTCTAGTCTAGTCCTGCTCTGAGCCAGTGGTTGTGCTTGCATGTCACCTGTTTGTGGCAGAAGCGACACTCAGACCAGGTAAAGGTCCCTGAATTAATTAATTAATTAATTAATTAAGGGACCATTTATTTATTTAGGAAACTTCTATGCCACCATCCCTGAATGAATGAATGAATGAATGAATGTGTGTGTGTGTATGTATGTATGTATGTATGGAACTTCTATGCCGCCCCATTCGCTGAAGCCTCGGGGCGGCTCACAAACCCTCGCCATCAGGAACCCTCACAGTGCACCCCAACAATAACCCACTCCCCACCTCTTGCACTCAGCCTTCCTCTGAAGAGGACAAACGGATGATAAGCACAGGCTGACGCAGAGCAAGTCCTCTGAGGCAGTGTTCAACCGCCGACATTTCCGGCCAGTCAGTGCGGGGGCCGCATCCTGCTTGCCACGGACCAGCACAGGAGCTGGCTGTGCTCACCACCTCTTCCTTGGTGGGCATCATGATCGCAAGGGGTGTGCCGGGGCTGCTGGGGAGGGGAGACACGGCTCAGTGGGAGCCACGCTGGTATTTTGTTCTTTAGTGGGCATTTTTTGTTGCTTGGTTTCTGGTTGTTTTGGAGAATTTTAATTTTTTTGGTATTGTGCTTGGAAATGAATACACAGAATACTGGCATGTGTACGGTGCTTTTTGTTTCTGCCTCGGCAGGCCCCAGGGTGGTTTTCCTGTTTTCACCAAGCCCCAGCTGTGGAAAGGCTGAAAACCACTGCTCTAGGGGACCAAGCTGCACAGAGTCTTCAGCCCATGTCCTAGCCGAAAATATGTTTTTGCTCTGCCGAGATCTATTTACTAGCCAGTTCTTCCTGGAGATAAAAATCACGAGGGCAGCCGAGCCAGAAACAAAGCAAGATCCCTCATTCTGAGCCAGCTGATCAGTCCACCTAGTTCAACACAGTCACTGGGAGGCAGCTGCCTTTTCATTAGGGTTGGGCAAAAAAATGTGCTAGCTGCATTTCAGTTGGTTTAGGAAGTGCATGCTTTCCTGAGCCAGAATGCAACTGGTGTCAAACTCCAGCTGTATTCCTGGGTTTCGGAGATCCTGGGCCTAGCTGGAGATACCCAGGACAGGCCGTGGGGCCTTCTGCAGGTGAAGCATCCCTTCTGCCATCAAGCTGCAGCTCTTTCGGAGAGAGAGGATCGGCAAGAAAGCTCGCCTGCAGGGGATTAGCTTGTCAAAACCAAATCTGCAGGTGGGATATAGCCGGGGAAGGTGCCCCTGTCACGAACAGGAAGCAAGGCAGGTCAAGATGTTTTGCTGCCTGAGATGAAGGACAAGATGTCCTCTCATCCCCGGGAAGCCAACCAGATGGACAGTTCTATCTTACTTCGGCAGTTCCGTATCTAAGCATGGCAAGGTCGATTAAACGTGCAAGGGGGTCTGTGGAGACTGTTCGGTGCTCCAGGACGTCGTCACCCCAAAGATCCGCCCCCGAGGCACCCACTCCGCACGGCCTCGTGATCGGGCCAGGCTTCACCGGAAGCGCCGGCACGTCCTGCCAGAGGCTCCAAACGCAGCACCGGACTCACCGTCGGGAGGCATCAGTGCCTTGTTGTTCTGGGTGCACCAGCCCACCGGGTGGAGATCGGCCGTCATCACGTCACACCAGAAATCGGCCCTGCGGTCGTCTTCGTAGCCACAGTACCGCAGCAGCAAGAGCTGCCCACAGGTCGTGATGATGGTGGCTACCCAGTAGGTGTCCGAGTTGTGCTTGTTGCCCACCTCCAGCTTCATGCCCGGCTGGAAACTGCTCTGCAGGCTGGTTTCCACCTGACAGAACAAGAAAGCGACAACATTGTGCATTTGCACAACACTAAAGGGAGCAGACAGACATGCGCGTTTCCCACAAGAGCCTTTCCCCAAGCTGGTGCCCTCTGCGTGTGCATGTGTTGGACTGTGACTCCCACGATCCCCAGCCTTGCTGGATGATGGGAGTTGTGGCTGGAAAAGGCAACTCAGTAGAATGAGTGTACACACAGATCCAAGAATTCTAAGCCGTATTTCTGTTTGCATACCTGAAGTGGGACTTGCACCTGTGACCTGGAAGATCCGAGGCAAAGCTGCGAGAGCACGTGCCGGATCCACGTGGACTGGCCGACCTCTGCCTTTGTCTCACTTGCTTCAGCAGAACAACTCACCTGCCTGACAGGAGGCAAGGCAGCAGCAAGACGCGTTGCTTTGGCCTGGCCCCACTCATGTTTTTCAGGCCCCACTGCCAACGTCCTAAATGCCCTTAGTCAAGTCACTTTGCCTCTTCTCTGCTCTTCCTGTCTTCGCTTTTTCTATTTCATTTAGACTAGGAGAGCCCGTTTTTGCTGCAACGGCTCCTGGGACGCTGGGAGGGGCAACCGCGGTTAGCGCACGTCATTGCAGCTCGCCATCCCCAAAGCGTGTTGCATGCAGACTTGGCCACTGCAATCGGCCCAGATTTTTCTTTTCAGGTGCTTCTAGTGCTGATTACTGGAGCCAAGAGCTAGTCAACATGGAGAACTCGGTCTGGATTAGATGCAAAGGCAGGACTTGCTTCAACATGCCATGTCTGGGTTTATTATTAACTGTTCTTTCCCCTCAGTCTCAAAAAAGAGAGAAAATGCTGGCTTGAGATGTTATACTTGGGGGGAACCTGCCGTCTGAGCAGTGCCATTTCCAGGTTTGAGGGGGCTTGAGCAAGGGGGTCCTGGTGGGCCCCGTTCTCTTCACCCTGGGCACATCTTCTTCCCCAAATGCCACACAAGGCATGCAGAAAATCCTACTCCATTTCCTTACTCCTCTCAAAGCTTTTATGCTCAGAGTGGACACCAAGCAAGAGGGACAGCTGGCAGCTGGGGGTGGGGGGGTTATCAGCAGAGCCACCCCCCCCCCCCCGCACAGGGCTGCAGGCCTCAGCTGGTGCCCACTCATGCATACCCCTCATGCTGACCTTGAGTGCAGCTACCACAAGGGCAGGCGGAGTTTGTGGCATGCCTGCAAAAGGGCAGGAGGAACCACACATGGGTTCATCGTGGGTAAAATAATTAAGCGTGGAGGGCACTCAAGGGCCTTTAGGTCAACCCCCTCTTGAGTGTAGGACACAATGGCATCATCCCTACCAGAGATCAGAAGGTGGCAAGCAAGGGAGGGAGGGAGGGAGGGAAGGAAGGAAGATCTTACAGTTCAGTAATCACTTTCCAAATTTTAATCTTGAAAAACGTATGATGTTTGCAAAAAAAAGTCAGAGAGGCAGAGCAGAGACTTGCAGGATTAAGAAAAAGTGAGTTTCCACCTAGAGCTTTAGAGGAGAGCTGACTTAACAAGGAGCCACTGCTGAACGTTCTAATGCCCGGCGGTCGCCAAGCTGGTCCCGGTGGCTACCAGTGCGCACCCGTACATGCCTCTGGGACCCAACAGGCTCCCTGCATGTCAAGACATAAGATTTTCACAATTCTTTTAAACAGGAAGGCTACCATACGCTCATGTGAAGCTCCATCCTCCAACATCCTCTGTACTTGGGATCAAAATTAGGGCGGTCTTGTTTTGCTTAGGAGTTCACACCCACCTCTGCCTTGCTTAGTTTTCCTTCAGCCCCACCCCAACCAAAGTGCCAGTTGGAGAGCATCCATGATTTTCTCTCAAAATTCCACGTGCCCATTGATTCACAAAGGATGGAGAAACCAGGAATAGCCCTCCTGAGAAGTAGCAACCAGACCTGTGCAGAGTATTCCAGGTGCGGCTGGACTACGGAAGAACAGTATGACAACTTTATTTGCTAATTATTGTCTGGTAAGAAGACCCAACAGGGAATTTGCCCTTTTCATAGCATATGAGGTCATTTTCTTTCTTTCTTTCTTTTTTTTGAGATGCCTACCAAGATCTCTTTCTTGCTCCACTCCTGGCAGCCCAGATCCCATCAACATATATGTGAAGCTGGAGCAAGGAAGTTGTCCCAATCCATCGTTTACACCAGATTACATTGGTGCTGGAGGAGACTCCTGAGAGTCCCTTGGACCGCAAGGCAATCAAACCGGTCAGTCCTAGAGGAGATCGACCCTGACTGCTCTTTAGAAGGCCAGATCCTGAAGATGAAGCTCAAATACTTTGGCCACCTAATGAGAAGGAGGGACTCCCTGGAGAAGAGCCTGATGCTGGGAACAATAGATGGCAAAAGAAGAAGGGGGCGGCAGAGGATGAGGTGGCTGGACGGAGTCACTGGGGCGGTGGGTGTGGGCTTGGGTGGGCTCCGGGGATGGTGGAGGGCAGGAGAGCCTGGAGGAATGTTGTCCATGGAGTTGTGATAGGTCAGGCACAACTTTGCGGCTAAACAAAAAAATATATATATTGAAACTCCCCCTGGCTGCATTCTTGTTGAAGAAGCCTTTCTGAACAAGAATTACTTTGCATGGCGTGTGTAGAACTGCACTGCTCAACAGAGGTTGGGCCTCCACGTTGTCAGGCTCTTCTTTACAGTCATGAGGACTAGAAACCCCAGACCAAGTACATACGTGTTTAAACGAGGTGTGAGGGGCAGCAGAAGATCCCGACTCTTCCAAGTATTCATCCCAGTTGAAATCCACATCCTCAGAATGTGAACTTTCATCTGCTTAGAAGAAACAAACCAAAAGCTGCAATATGAAGATTAAAGGAGGTTCTCCCATACCAACAGCATATGCAAGAAAATGAAAAATGGTAATGCTCATTTCACAGCAGATTGGAATAGCAGTGCTTAGGTGCATTTAAACAGCTTTCCTTGCATGTCTAATATATTTATTGACATGATTTCAGCAGCTTATCAGCTCCTGGCATAAGACAACTTGGTTCATACCCTGCTGTGGCTCTCAGAGAATGGGGAACTTGCTTACTGTTTGATTTTTATCCTAAAAGACAGGAACGAATCAGGTTTGCCAGTATATTTACTGGCTAATGCTGAGCCTTTAGAACCCATGTCTGGAATGGGTATGGAATGGGCTTCCGTGGGAGGTGGTTGGGGCCCCATTGGTGCGGGTGTTCAAGGATAGGCTAGACATGCACATGGTGGGCATGTCGTGAGCAGAGCCGGCTGGAGCCGGGGGTCAGACTAGATGGCCCGGGAGACCCCTTCTGATTTGCCCTGTTTCTATGTTTCTATCACAGCACAGCAAGAAGACCTTCAACAGCAGCTGCAACTGTATTTGCGGCTCTCAGCTGATGAAAAAGCCTGGCCACCAAACAAGCCCAATTAAGTTTATTCCCCAAATAGTTTTATGAACTATGAAATTACTCAAGCAGAATCTTTTTCTTTAACGGAAAGGAGGACTTCCTTTGCAAACAGCCAAGTGGACAGGGAGAAATGCTTTCTGACAGCCTCCAGTGGCCTCCAAATTCCCAGCTTTCCTGACCAGTGGCCATTCTAATTGGGCTGATCAAGCTGAACATCTTCAGGGGACATCCTCTGGCCACAACAGCCCTGCAAGGTAGGCTTGCCTGGAGAAATAGCATTTAGTTCAAGGTTATGCTGGGGGCTTCACGGCTGAGAAGCATTGCTAGGTCCTAGTTCAATGTTCCAACCACTAGAACACATTAACTGAAAAGGCCAATGCTGGAAAAGCATAGCCCCACCTGAATCAAATGGCGCTGTGTTCCCATTGGCTGGGTTTGGCTCATTTTCCGTGGACAGGTGGTGTGTCTCTTGTGCAGCAATGATCACGGACCGTCTTGTCTCCATCGCGCAGGCAACGGAGTCTCCGTTCTTTAATTCATCGTGAAATACGGCCTCCCTGTAGAAATGTAGTGCGGAGGATGGAAATGGCTTTCACCAGGGCATCTATATTACCCCAACCATGCTCCCCAGCTCTCTTACACCCTACCAAGTGTTCGGAGCAATGCGGCAAGGCACCCCTCGAGGTCTCCCTTCCCCGTCATTTGCACTGAAGAGCAGTTCAGAGGGCAAAGGGATTTGCCAAAAACCTCTTCCTTCCAAGCAAGGGTTTCCTGACTGACTCCTCAATTCCAGCCAGCATTTGACTGCTGTTCTTGCTTTTTATTGCACTGGTTTGCATTCTGTATTTTAATGAGCTGAGCACGGCCTTGGCATTGTTTGATGTAGACGGATGTATGACTTCTGGCATGAAAGCATAAATACAGAATCCTTTCAAGCCACAGCCCAGCTTCCACTTGGGGAGGAAAAAGCCCATCCTGGAAATGCGCTCACAGGCCACAAACTTTGCCTATCCTTGAGAGCCGTCCAATGAAGGGAGTTTGCCAATTAAGAACTGCATCCTCTCTCTTATTCTCTCCCTCTCAGACTTTAAAGTAGACTTCCCTGACCCAATCCCATCCATTTGCATTGCACAATTCCCATCATCCACCACCCTTCTAATCCTACCCACCCATTTTACATTATTTTTAAAAATATTTGTATGCATGTGAAACAAGTCATCTTTCACTAAGAGCTCATAGGATTTCAGAGGCAAACTGAACGAAGCCATTCCAAAGCACTTTGCTGCGGCACAGAAAACCATCTGAGAGCCCACGCAAAAAGAGCCAAGGGTATGTACCCGATTACAGGCTTTCTCCAGGGTCATGGACATCCAAAGGGGCACAGAATGGAAAGCCTTTAGACTGATATAATTCCAAGAGCTCAATATACCAAGAACAACAAAACACAGGATGCTTTTAATCTATGGTGTTTGCAGCAACATCATAATTAAGATTAAGCCGTTCGGGAAAAATTGGATTCTCGAGAGCTCTTTCTTCTCCTCCCCTCAAAACCCCACTGGGCTCCCCGACTTCTCCCTACGGCTGTGCCAAACCTCACCAGGATTCGAATAAGGAGCCTGGGGCCTGCCACCCACAGTTACAAGGAGGAAGAGAATGAGGGACGGATCCACAGACGCCAGCCAGCCAGCGTGCAAAGAGTCTTTCTCGTGGGGCAGTGAAAGCAAAACAGGAATCGTTTTTCAAATGTGCTCCCAGCCATTTCCTTTCCCCTGCTTGTGCAAGACTCTCTCCATCCGTCTGTGAATGTGGAGACAGTTGGACTGGGATGCAAGTTCACAAGAGTGTGCTATGTGCTATTTCTACCTCCATAAAAGGATGCTGAAAATGCCATGGGGGGTATGTGGCTATATTTAAAAAAAAAAAACGAATTATTGGGCAGAACCTCCAGAAAGTTTCCTGTATATGGGCTGCACTGAAGTTAACAGTGATTGTACAAAAGCAGACAACACCCCAAATCTTTCTTTTTAAGCCTATGAAAAGTTTTGGGGAATGTTCCAGTGTGGAGAGATTTAGGGCGCAATTTAGAAAGAAAAATGGGGCATGCTTGGAGTTGCAGGGCTTTCTTTCTGCCTAAACATGCACAGAATTGCCCCCCTGAGGGGGCCTCCCCCCTTCAGACTCCAAAGCAGTCTGCCTCCCCCTCCTGCTTCTTTTTGCCAAGTAAAACATCCAAAATCCACAATCAGGCAATACTTAGTTTAGAACCAACCAGAACCTCAGCAAAAAGTAAACAATACTTTGAGTTCTGCCAAACTTGTCACTGGACTGGATGTCAGAGGAGTTTGCCCCAGAGTTGCACCTCTGTTTGAGTCACAGAGTGACAGCGACTCTCACTTCACAGTGACTCACACAGAATCACAGGTGGTACTCCACAGGTGGCGCAGTGGAATCCCATTATTTACAGGATCTAAAAAGGAATCCTTGGGGCTTGCAAGAGTGAGGCTTAGCTCTGGCTTTAAATTTGACGGGGGGGGGGGGCAGGATCCAGAAAACAACTGAGAAGCATGTTTTTAATCTTGTTTAATTAACATAGCTGGTGTAAGTGCGGTGATGGCAATGTGCGCCAGTGGGTGAAGGATTGCAAAGAGTTTGCTGTCTAAAAACCTGCCGAGTTTGCTGTCTAAAAACGCAGATGGCTGATTCACTTACACTCCAACTTTCCCCAACCTGGTCTCCCCCCTGATATTTTGACTACAACTCCAGGACAATTGGGAAGACTGGCGGAGCTGATACCTAGAAGGCTACAGGCTGGGGAACTTGGACTTCCCTTCCCTTCTGCAAATGAAGCAGGTGAAATCAGAGGTCCGTGGAGGAGGATGCGTCAGTTCAGGGCCTCAGCATCATTTCTGCTGCTCTTTTCTCCCTCCTCTCCTGCTTCCACCAGGAGCTCACTAAGAATCACCCTATCCTTTAAATTTGTTTTGATGCTCGGAACCAAGGCTTCGGGCCATCGCTTTCTGCCTGCCTGCAGGGAAGAAACGACCGCGAGGGCTGCCTTGGAAAAAGTTCCTCTCCGGCAGTTGCAACCCGCGAACGGAGGGAGCCAGCCCCGCGCCCCGCTCTTTGCAATGCACCAGCAACTCCACCACGAGGGAACGCGCGTTGCTTTTGCAACCGGCTTCCTCCCACCCGCGCTGGATCAGGCCCAAAGCTTTCCGCGCGCCGATCGCTTCTGCCTGCCCGCGCGGGCGCTCCCGCCAGAGGCCCTTCCGCCGCTTGGGGGGGGGGCGGGGGGCGCGGAGCCGCGCAATTCCAGCCCCGGGCGCTGCTTCTCCCGCCGGAGCGCGGCTCCTCGACACTCGGCCTCCGCCTGCTCCGCGGGGCTGAGTGCGCGCGCAAGGATCTCCCTGCGAGGCGCGCAGCGTCCTCTCCGCCCGCCCCACTCGCATCCTCCGTAAGCTGGATCGAGGCTGCTGCGGCGCAGTGCTGCGCCGCTTACTCGCAGAGTAGGCGCACGGAGCTGATTTCCAAGGAAATGCACCCGGATCGGGCTGCAAGCCACTGCCCGCTTCCCCGGGTTTACTTCTGGGTTTACTCCTGAGTAAGTGGGCGAAAGCTCAGACTTGCTAACAGGTAAATGTACGCAGGACCGCGGCCGGAGCCGAATCAATCCTGTTCAACTCGACGGAGCTTGTTTCCGAGCATTCCCGTCGAGCGGCAGACCTGTGCGCGCTCACTCGGGGCGGTATCCAATCTGCGTAACGTATGCACATGCCTTTCGGTGCGGATTAACATGGGACACAAACCGCAGTCGTTCAGTGGGCCTTACTTCCGAGTGACTATGCACGGGATGCGGCCCCCACGCGCCGAGACACACGCACGCCCCCGCCGCTTTCACCGGTCGTTTCACCGGCCTTTGCCCGCCCGGTTCTTGGTGCCTTCGAGGACGGGGTCAGAAGAACCGCGCTGCCCCGGAGCTGCCCTCGCTCTCCAAATCCGAAACACCCTGCTCATGTCACCCCAAAAGAGATTCCAGTGGCGGGGGGGGGGTTAAGAGAAATCAGGCATCCAGCAGAAATGCTTTAAGACCCTCCACCAGCCCCACCCCCCCAAAAAAAATCCAGCAAAGATTTTGCAGTCTTCCGGCTTCTGCAGGATTCCTCGGCTGCGCCCCATGCGGAGCGCCCCTACGGCGTTCACACAGCACCGCTCGAGAAGGCAGCGTCCGCGCCGCACTCTCCGTGCCTCCCGCTCTCGTCCCGCGGGACCTCGGGCCCCGTGTGGCCACAAGGGGGGAAATCGGAGCCGATCCTCCAGAGGCACGCGCGCGAAGCCCGAGTTTCCTCGGCAGTCAATCCCGCCGTGTGAACAGCAAGTGCGCACGGGGTTTTTGTTCTGCTCGTTAACGCTCAGACTCACGGATCGGGGGACCGGCTTTTTCTGAGTCCCACCCAAATGTGATAAAATAGAGTGCAAACGATCCAGTTCTCCAAAATTCTTCCCCAGTTCTGTCGCACCCCCGTACCTGGGCCGAAATCCCAATCCATGCTTACTTAAGGAAAGCTCAACCGCGCAAGACCGGTCTGACTTCGAGGAAGGAAAGATGGGACCTCCAGCCGAAGTATTCCGAAGCAACCTGCCGTTCCTGCTTGCCTACGGTCAGAATCTGTGCGCCTTTACTCCGAATTAAATCCTACCGCGCGGTGAGTTGACTTGAGGCTCCGCCCCGCCCTCCGTGCGCGCTCACGGAGAAATCCACCCCAGGAAAATCAATGGGATTTACCTCTCAGTAAACCCACAGTTAAGTTCGCCGGCTACGGGCGCGTTTAGGATCGCAGCCCGCCTTCCAACGTCATCAAACTGATTCTAGCTGTTTGACAAAGGAATCTCCTAGTTTTCACTGTGGTTTATATTATTATTTTTATTACATTACAGGATGCATTGCATTATAGCCCAAGCAGGGATGGTGCTAGGTAACGAAAAGATCCGGGGCTCAGGCACACAGGACAAAACAATGCACAAATTTGCATATGCTAATTTACCTATGTTCTAAAGTCCCTGTGTGTATCTTTAAAGGCCTCTGCCTCCCCAGGTCGCCTATTTTTCCAAATGGATTTCTGGGGGTCCATTCTATTTAAAAAAAAAAAAAAGATCATAGGCAGAAGCAAGGGGAGGGGGACAGGAGAAGTCCGCCTGGGCCAAAAGTAACTTATTTAGGGGACTCACATGCAACAGAAATAATCAGAGCCCCTGAACCTTTTTCTCAGCAGCTGCTCTTGGACTGAAGAAAGCTGGGACAGGCGACCTCCAGATTCGGGGCATCAGAGGAAAGATTCCCCCGCCAATACTGCCTCTGCGCCGCAGCGGATATACTGTTCTTTGTGGCATTTATATGTCACCTCGCCTCCAAGGCGCTCAACGGACCGTCTCTATTTTTATCCTCCCAACAACCCTGTGAGGTAGGTCGGGCTGAGAGCCAGCGACTGGCCCAGAGGCACCCAGGCAGCGCCAGGCCGGGTCTCCTTGCGCCAGTTCAACA